CTTGATTGGATCAATCGAGGATGTTTATTATGTACCAGATCTCAAGACCAACATCTTGAGCTTGGGGCAACTTACAGAAAAAGGTTATTCGATAATTATAAAAGATCGGATACTGCATTTGAAGGACAAGCTAGGGCATCTGATTGCTCAAGTCGAGATGGGGAGAAATCGAATGTACAAACTAAATTTGAGAAGCGTTCGAGAAAAATGTTTGCAGGTCAATGTCGAAGACAAAGTGTCGCTGTGGCATCTACGCTTTGGTCATCTACATCATGCTGGTTTGAAAAGGTTGGCGAAAAAGAACATGGTGCACGGGCTACCAGACATGGACTATGAAGGAAAGTTTTGTGAAGAATGTGTGCTTAGCAAACAAACAAGAACCTCATTTCAAAAGAAGGCAGAATATCAAGCTAAACATATTCTCGAACTGATTCATACCGACATATGTGGGCCAATCACTCCGGAATCTTTCAGTGGCAAAAGGTACTTCATTTCCTTTATCGACGATTTCTCACGAAAAACCTGGGTTTATTTCTTGAAAGAAAAATCTGAAGCATTCGAGGTGTTCAAAAAGTTCAAAGTAATGGTGGAGAAGGCAACTGACAGACACATCAAAGTTGTTCGATCTGACAGAGGTGGTGAGTATATTTCAACAGCTTTTATGAAGTATTGTGAAGAGCAGGGCATAAGGAGATTTCTAACTGCACCGTATTCACCTCAACAAAACGGTGTGGCTGAAAGGAAGAATCGAACAGTTCTCAACATGATTCGATCAATGCTTAAAAGCAAGAACATGTCGAAGGAATTCTGGGCAGAAGCTGCACAATGTGCTATTTATGTTCAGAATCGATGTCCACATTCGAAGTTAGAAGATCAAACACCACAAGAAGTATGGAGCGGACAGAAGCCAACAATTTCTCATCTCAAAGTATTTGGTAGTGTGGCGTATGCACACGTACCAGATCAACGAAGAACGAAGCTTGAAGACAAAAATCAGAAGTGCATATTCATTGGGTATGATGAGAAGACAAAAGGGTACAAGCTATTCGATCCCATAAGCAAGAAGGTGATAGTGAGTAGAGACGTTCGAATAAATGAAGCGAGCAAGTGGGACTGGAACAATTCGACAGAAGTTAATGTCGAAGTTGAAGAATCATTTGTTGCCATACCAACAAACATTCCAACAGAACTTGAAGAGTTCGACAATGAAGATGAACCTCTACAACCCAGAATGCGAAGTCTACAAGATTTGTATGAAACAACAGAAGAGGTACACCTTGTATGTCTTTTGGCAGATACTAAAAACATTAACCTCGAAGAGGCGTTACGAGACGAAAAATGGAAAACTGCCATGAACGAAGAGATTAAGGCCATTGAACGTAACAACACATGGGAACTAGAAGAATTACCAAAAGGAAGTCAACCCATTGGTGTAAGGTGGGTATTCAAGAAAAAGATGAATGCTCAAGGCGAAATAGAACGGTATAAGGCGCGACTTGTTGCGAAGGGATACAAACAGAAAGCAGGAATTGACTATGACGAAGTATTCGCACCCGTTGGAAGAATGGAGACAATTCGATTGCTCATTTCTCAAGCTGCTCAATTCAAATGGCCAATATTTCAAATGGATGTCAAGTCAGTATTTTTAAATGGTGTGCTCGAAGAAGAAGTTTACATCGAACAACCACCCAGATACATGAAAGTCGGAAAAGAAGAAAAAGTGCTAAAATTGAAGAAGGCGCTTTATGGGTTGAAGCAAGCACCGCTAGCATGGAATACACGCATCGACACATACTTCAAAGAGAATGGTTTCAAGCAATGTCCCTACGAACATGCTCTATATGTAAAGAAGAATGGAAGTAATATATTACTTGTTGCTCTCTATGTCGATGATCTAATTTTCTTGGGTAACAACGGTCAAATGATAGAAGAATTCAAGGGCACAATGACACGTGAATTCGAGATGACAGACTTAGGTCTGATGAGATTCTTTCTTGGTCTTGAGGTTCAACAAGAAGAAGCAGGAATCTTCATATCACAAGAGACATATGCAAAGGAAATCCTGAAAAGATTCAAAATGAAAGATTGTAATCCAGTTTCGACACCAATGGAGCCAGGTGCAAAGCTGTCGAAATTTGATGGAGGAGAACGTGTCGAAGCAAACAAATATCGAAGCTTGGTAGGTAGTCTTCGCTATCTCACATGTACAAGGCCGGACATTTCATTAAGTGTCGGTATTGTAAGTCGATTCATGGAGGAGCCAGTATATTCACATTGGAAGGCATTGAAACGAATCCTAAGGTACATCCAAGGAACATTGTCATTTGGAATGTTTTATTCAAGAACAGAAGATTACAAGTTGGTTGGTTACTCCGACAGTGATTGGTGCGGAGATATAGACGATCAGAAAAGCACTTCAGGATATGTGTTCTTCATGGGAAATACCGCATTTACTTGACTTTCTAAGAAGCAGCCGATAGTAACGCTCTCGACATGTGAAGCTGAATACGTGGCAGCATCTTTGTGTGTTTGTCATGCGATATGGCTTAGAAGATTGTTGAGAAAAATGGAGCTAAAACAGGTAGGTACAACAGTTATACAAGTGGACAACAAATCAGCAATTGAGTTAGCAAAGAATCCTGTAAACCATGAAAGAAGCAAACACATCGACGTTCGCTTCCACTTTATTCGAGAACATGTGAAGGAAGGAAGTGTCGAATTGAGGCATGTATCAAGCAAGGATCAAGCAGCAGATATTTTCACAAAACCATTATCGAAAGAAATTTTCGACAGAGGCAAGAAATTGATAGGCATGATAGATGGAAGGAACATTTAAGTTTACAGGGGAGTTTTGTTGAATAAACTTTAATGTTATATTTAGTGGATTTCTATTAATAAGTTAGTGGAAAGACAAAGTCTCTATTGTAGTTGGAAGGCCAAGAGATAGTGGGCTATTAATAGCATCTACTTGTTTTCTTAGAATAGCAGTAATGAGACTATATAAAGACCAGTATTGTATTTTCATTTCAACAGTACATATATATAAAAGTAGTGCTTCTATTCACAAACAACACATCCAATATCCCATTTAGGAGCACCTATTGCCTACGTAAACATCTTCCATATGCTGATACTTCTGTCCGCAACACTCTCATCGACTCCATCGCCTCTAACCTTACCAAACTCTACACCCCTATTTGAACGAAAAGCCTGCAAGAATTGCTTCCGCACTACTTTGTCGCCTTTATTGGAGCTCCGATATGATATATGAAACCTTGGGATACTAACAAAGATTTTTACTGGCCGATAAAAATGTTATCTAGTTTTGTAAGTAGCAGCTGATCATTCTTCACTTGGAGACACATAGCAAAACCAAACCTTCTACCTCTCTATCCCTTTTTGCAGGGATCACCACCTCTCCAACCTTACCATACTCTTTGAAGATGTCAATTAAGTCTCTAGCTCTGAGATGATCAAGAAATAAGTTAAGAAGAATGAGGTTAACTCAAAAGTCTTGAACTGAGAGTGACCCGCGATATCCTTTGTTGGTATTTTTTTCCTCTTGTCCGAAACAATCTGCCATCCACCACCTTCTATATCTTGGGTTTGAGAAAAGCGGCCATCTCTTTTTCTATGTTTCCTCCACACCCTTTCCACTTTCCATGCTCCAAGTGTGAGTTTATTAATAAGAAAAATCATTAGCTATTTTCTCTTCTTGATTTGTTATAATTTATTCAAAAACTAAATAGTATAATTTTTAAACTAAAACTGAATCAAATTTAAATTATAATAACATAATTTTATTTAGTCATTACTAATTTTAGTATTTAATTTGACAAAAAAATAGAGAAAATGAGATATGTATTAACCATGAAAATAATTTTACACTGTCATTTTACATTCTCAACAATCATTATATATTCTACCATACCAGAGTATAATTTTTAAATTAATAATATAATATAATTTAATGAAAATTTTTTAATGAATGTCCGAGTAAAATTATTTTACATTTTTTTAAACAAAAAAAATTATTGTACATTTAAAAAAGTATTTAAATAGAAAAAAATTAAATTTTATAATCAACTTTGCTACCTTAACACCATTTTTTACACCACATACCTTACACCGTATTTATACAGTGAACAATGTTTTTTTATTAAAATAATATATTTTATTAAAATATATATTTTTAAAATTTATTTTATAACACAAATATAAGATTGTGTCATTAACTAACTTCATAATTATATTAACCACAAAAATCTACATCATTAACCAAATTAACCACTTTCAGTACTTCATTAACCAATAAAACACATATTATTAATCATGTTCTGAGACTAAATTATAAATATATATATAATATTTACAAAAATCTGAATGATATATATATATATATATATATATATATATATATATATTAATCAAATTTTGAATTGTATTAAACAGGTTTTAATATTTCATTAATCAAATTATTTTTTTTAAAAAATACATTACAAAATTAAAATAATATAAAAATACTGTTCATGTATTTGTGAAAAGTGAATTGAGTGTAGTGTATTTTTGGTGTAAGAATAACATTTTTCTTTGATAATAGATAGAGATAGATGACATGTGACAAGAGAAAGGAGGCACGTGAGGGGATGAGGCGTAGAAGCACGTGAACCTAGGCGGAAATCCAACTTAAAATTTAGAACCCTAATTTTAAAATCTCCACATTTAAAAACGACACCGCTTGAATATTGTAAAATAAATCACTATTATTAATCATTCTCGTTCTTTTTTCGCTCCTTTTATTACAGCCACCGCCTTCAACTTTTTTTTCTTCTTTCATTTCGCTCATTCTTTCTCCAAAACCCTCTTCTTCTCTCGTAGCCTGCTAGGGTTAGGGTTAGGGTTTTACTCCATCCTTCATAACTTGTCTTCGTTCGCAAGATCCCTTTCCCCTCCTTCGGAATCTTCTCTCTGAGCTATTTCTTCGTTCCAGATCTTGATCTATGGATGTCCGCAAGAGAGGTAGACCTGAACATGGATTTAACACCAATGGCGGATTCAAGAAATCCAAACCAGGTTTGTTCTTTCTTCTTCTTCTCTCTGTCGTTTTGCATGGTTTATACTCTTAATTTGCATGCCTTGTTTATACACTTACTTTCAAGCTTATTCTGTTTTATGCTTTTTTTGTATTGTTGCGTCCTCTCTGTGTAATTTGATGTTTTGCTTCCGGAAAATTTTTTCACTAAAACTTCAAATTTTGGTATGTTGTTGCGCATTCGGGAGACATTAAACTCTCTCACTCGAGTATACCTACAACTTAAATTGTTTCAGATTGGTAAAAAATTTCAGTCGTTGTGGGCAATGAAAAACCTAGTAAATTATAAATTAATGTAATTGCCCCCTTCTTCAAAAATATTAAAATTGTTAATAGTTTTTGGGTATAGCGTAAGAGATTAATAAAGGAGGGAATGATAACTGAGAATAAGTAATAATGTTTTGCAACAGAAATGCAGTCCTTATCAACTGGTGTAGGAAGCAAATCGAAGCCATGTACCAAGTTTTTCAGGTTATAATCTACCCCTGTCTAAATAAAATATAATTTGAAATGCCGTTTTTTCTACTTTTAATAGCATTATATTATAATCATTATAAGAATGAAGTGTTGAATTGTTTTAAAATTAAACTATGCGATTTTGCTAATCAACCAAGTATATGAAAGTCTTATACAGGTACACTCTGTTGTCTAAACAAGTAAACTAAACAGTGGTTTATTAACCTACCACTACTTAAAAGACAACAATTTGCAGATCAATAGTTGGGATAGAGACCACTGTCATCAAAGATTAATTGACCGTTTTCCACTCATGTTTTACTACTTTAATCATTTAAACAGGTCATAGTGGATTTATTATTAATGAACCAACCTTTTGATCGGTAAGCTATCAACTAAGTAACATGAATTGAACTTTGATTGGTTGGGTCAGGTATGATGTCAAAAGGTACATTTAAATAATTTATTTTGTACTGTGCATGTTTGTTGAAGAAAATAAAGACATTTTTTGGGTCATCCGTAAACCTTGAACAAGAAACAATTTTATTCAATCCCAAGTTCTAATTGTTTGAGACGTCATCGAGAAACAAATGTCGAAAATCCACCGTCTTGTTTTATTGGGTTGCAAGTTTTTGTAGCGGGTCTATTTGTCACCACTTGCCCCCCATTGTTTATCTTATCCCATTTTGTTTTTCTGCTTCCCACTAAACATTGAAAGATAAATGTTTCTTCACTAGTTTCTTGTTATTCAATCTAAGTGTTTCTTTCAAAAGGTCTTCAATTTTGATGAGGTGATTGGGCAATATCCTTTGTAAAAATAATTCTGTTTTTCTTTAAATTTTTCCTTTGGTTGTCTGTCCTTTTCATATACTTATAAAGTGTGATAAGCTTGATGCATTATAATTATTATTTGAAACTTTCATATGGATAATTTAGGAAAAATTTCTGTTTACATAAATGCCAGTTTATCCTCTAAGGGGCTTTCTATAATTTGTTCTCTATGAAATTAAGGAGAATCCTAGGGTACTCATCTGTTCAAGAATTTGGCATGTTTACTGTTATTTAAGTCAGATTGTTTGAAGGTGACTCGATGAAATTAATATCATTGGGTCAATACTGACTGGGTTAGGTATTCTTTATTAAGCAATTCAGTTGAAAACATAAGATGGATTAATCTTGAATATCTATCTCTGTATGGTTAAGACTTGTTTCTTTTTGTTGAAGTGTAGTATAGCTGTTCCCGTTTGGTCCTTTGAAGTTAACCTGTTAAGATTTGTTTCATATTACGCATGTCTCTTTATACTGTTTGACAAGTGTTTATGTTGTATGTTTTCCTTTAAGGAGATTAATGTCAAATCTTAGCTTTTTCATTTATTTAATCTTTGAGGGCCAATGATATTTTGGAACTTTACAAGCTTAGCATTTCATAAATTGTGTGTCAAATAATCCATGGATCTGAGTTTATTTTGATACCATCATACAAGGGGATAAGAATAGACATGCCATTTATGCGTCATTGTTAGTATTGATTCATTGTAATCTAATTGAACTATTTTTGTTTTTGCAGCACTTCTGGTTGCCCATTTGGTGAGACATGCCATTTCTTGCACTATGTTCCTGGTGGTTTTAATGCTGTTGCCCAGATGATGAATCTAACACCCGTAGCACCTCCTGCACCCAGAAATGTTGCAGCCCCACCACATGCACATGCACCCAATGGATCCGCGCCATCTGCTGTTAAAAGTCGCATATGCAACAGGTTTAACACTGCCGAAGGTTGCAAATTTGGGGACAAATGTCATTTCGCCCATGGTGAATGGGAACTTGGAAAGCCTGTAGCTCTATCATTTGATGATCACCGTCACGGGGGACCCCCCAACGTAGGTCGTATGGGTGGTCATCGAATGGAGCCTCCTCCTGGTCCAACTACCAGCTTTGGTGCCACTGCCACTGCCAAGATCAGTGTGGAAGCTTCCATGGCTGGAGCAATCATTGGTAAGGGTGGTGTGAACTCAAAACAAATCTGTCGCCAAACTGGAGCCAAGCTTTCGATTCGAGACCATGAGTCTGATCAAAATCTTAGGAACATTGAACTTGAGGGAACTTTTGAACAAATTAAGGATGCAAGTAACATGGTGAAGGATTTACTGTTGACCCTGCAAATGTCTGCACCACCTAAAACAACCCAAGGTCCTCCTGGTGCCCCTGGCCACCATCATGGAAACCATGGAAGCAACTTTAAGACAAAATTGTGTGAGAATTTTACAAAAGGATCTTGTACTTTTGGAGAAAGATGTCATTTTGCACATGGAGCTGCTGAAATGCGGAAATGAAAATTCTACCTTAATGAGGCAGTGCATTATCTTGCGAGTCAGGATTATTTTTATGATTATAATTGTTCTGCACTGCTACTTGGGTACTGACAGGACTTCTGATGTTAAGAATTTTGTTGTTTTTGTTTTATTTAAATAGCTACATTAGCTTTACAGTTTCATTTTCCTGTTATGAATCCATGCTCTCCCTCCTCAGATTGTTGATTGTATTTTTTCAGTAGTAGAGTTTTATTTTCTCGTGCCCTGCACAGATCATAATTCCTGTCTTTCTCAATTTGGCCATGCCATAAATTTTGTTTTCTTTGTGTCATCCTTTCTGTCAGTGTTGTTTTTTTAGGAAATTTTAAGTTTTTCTTTATTCATGGATTTGTCCAACTAAATGAGGTCTGAGATTGAAACCGGTAGTGGAAGTAAAATATTCAATCAAGTGCATGGCTTTAGTCTCTCTTAATCTTGAAAATTAAAATTAAAATTAAAATTATACCAACAGAGAGAACTGTTCACATTAGTGTTTGTGTTTTGATTAGTTATCTTGAAGTTGCAACGATTTTTCGCTCACCAACTGATTTGGTTTAGCAATCACCGACATTGAGCACACTTGCTGCCATTTTCTGTCTAAAATGGAAATATTATCACTAGAGCAAATACTCCACTTATAAACCACCTTTGAACAGCAGACTTCGCACCAAGGTTGTCAAAATCTAGATTTAAATCGTGAGATCTTAAGATCTTACGAGTTTTCACCATGCTCCGCGGCAGAGCGCAACAAAGATTGTTGGAGAAGGCGGCGCGGTAGGAGCGCAGTGTAAGATCGTAAAAACGTGAAAGCAAAGATCTATTTTGCAATGGAAAGTTTGTCCAATCCGTTTCGACCCGATCCGGTCCAATACCCATTGAAGAAGGTGACCCATTCAGCTCTTTCTACCAGCCGTTTCACATAAAATTAGCCTTTTTCATCATTAAAAGTTCTGTTGCTATCTACAAGACTTATTTTTTGGGGGAAATTAAAAATCAATATGAAAAATATCAATTTATTAAATGATATCATGTATTCTTCTTCAATTCCATCTATAAATCAATCATACGATTTCTATTCAATCATCAACTTCTTTTCTTCTTTAGTTATACGATCTCTCATCATACCTTCTATTCTACCACACTTTTTTTTTCCTAATGTCTTCATCAATTCCAGTTCATGCATCATAATCTACACCACCAAAAGTTCAAAAAAATGCTCCTAGAAGCAGAACTGATATTGCTTGGAAGCATGATGTCTCTGTTAATGGAGGAACACGAAAAATCAGATGCAATTACTGTTCAAAGGAAGTAATCGGAGGAGTGTACAAGATGAAACATCATTTAGCTTGTACACAGATAAACGTTGGTGCATGTAAATCTGTACCTGATGATGTTAAAGTCCAAATGTGGGAGATTTTAAATTCTCTGCAAAACAATTTGCTAAAAAAAATAGAGGATGCAAATGAAATAGTAACAGGAAAGAGGCCATTCGAGGATGATGATAATGCTGCGTCTGCAAAAAATTTTAAGAAGAAGGGCATGAATACTCAATCCACCATCAACTCCATCTTCAAAAAGAATTTGAGAGAAGAAGCATGTCTTAAAATTGCTTCATTCTTCTACAACAACGCCATAGCTTTTAATGTGGCAAAAAGTGAAGAATTTCAAAAAATGTTGGAGATGGTTTCAAGACATGGTCTTGGATTCAAACCACCTTCATATCATGAAATCAGACAAAGTACTTGAAGCATAAAATGGAGGAGACAAAGAAATTCATTGAAGAACACAAACTTATTTGGGAGAATACATGATGCACTATAATAAGTGATGGGTGGACAGACAAAAGAAGAAGAACAATATTGAATTTCTTAGTGAACAACCCTAAAAATACCGTCTTTTTAAAGTCCATTGATGCCTCACACATTACAAAAACTGTTGATGCAATTTTTAAGATGATTGATGACATTGTGGAAGAAGTGGGAGAAAAAAATGTTGTACAAATTGTCACTAACAATGCTGCAAACTACAAAGCAACAGGTACAATGTTAATGGAAAAGCGAAAGAAGCTCTATTGGACCCCCTGTGCAGTCCACTACATTGATCTCATGTTAGAGGATTTTGAATAAAATATAAAAGCTCACAATGAAACAATTTCAAAAGGTAAGAAAATCACTCAATTCATTTATTCAAAGCCTTCCCTTATTTCTTTATTACAAATTCATACAAAAAAAAAAGATTTGGTGAGACCGGCCATTATTCGATTTGCGACATCTTATTTAACTTTAGGATGTCTCATGGAGAATAAAGAAGGATTGATAAGAATGTTCACATCTTATGAATGGACAATAACCAAGTTTGCAAAAACAAGTGAAGGAAAGCAAATTGAAGAAGTGGTTATGGATAAAGAGTTTTGAAAAAATATTGTTATTTGTTGTAATGGTGCTTATCCTCTAATTAAAGTACTTTGTTTAGTGGATTCTGATGAAATTCCAGCGATGGGATTAATTTATGAGGAAATGTACAAAGCTAAAGAGAAAATTCAAGCTAATTTCAATGGTGTTCAAAGAAGGTATTAACTACAACTCTAATTCTATTTCATTTTTAGGGAAAATCTAGTCCCTGATGTACTCTTGTCTCTGTTTTGTTCAAATCTGATATGTTCTATGTATTCGTCTCTGTTTTGTTTACTCTTCAAATTTGGTCTTTTTTTATTCAACTTTCCTCACTGTTCTCCTTTTTTATTCAACTTTACTCACTGAATTTTTATTTATTATTATTATTTAGTTACAAGCTTTTATGGGATATAATTGATGAAATGTGGGATAAGCAATTGCATAGACCTTTGCATGCTGCCGGTTACTATCTCAACCCAAAATTACATTATACCTCTAATTTTAAAGTTGACTATGAAGTTAAACGAGTATTATATGATTGTATGGAAAGGATGATCGGAGATGTAGAAGAAATAAGTAAGATTGATGCCCAATTGAAAGATTTTAAGAGAAAGACAAAGTTTTTCGGTAGTGCAACGACATTAGCGGCTCTTAAAACTAAAACTCCGACACAATGGTGGGAATCATATGGGGACGAGCATACCGAGCTACAAAATTTTGCAATTTGTGTCCTTAGCTTAACTTTTAGCTCATCGGGATGTGAAAGAAATTGGAGTGCTTTCGAAATGGTATATACAAAGAAAAGAAATCGCTTGAAGCAAAAAACAATGAACGATGTTGTGTTTCTAATGACAAATTCAAAGTTGGCAAAAAAGAAGAAAACAAGAAAGGTGGTAGAATGTAGCATTGGCGAAATTGAATCGAATGATGAGTGGATCATGGACAATGAAAGTAGAGATTTAGAAGTTGACAATCAAAATGGAGAGAATGGAATTAGCAATGAAGATGATTTGGAGGAGATGAAGATGATTTGGATGTTGGACTTGCTCAAGATGCATTGCATGATTTGTTAAATTGAAGTTTATGTTTAAGTTAATTTTTAGTTTATGTTTAGTGTTAATGTTTTGGAATTTTGGATGTTTTTAATTATTTAGAATTTTGAAATTTTAGAATTTGGAATGTGGTTTTTATTAATTTTAAAAAAAATATGTTAATGTTTTTTAGTGAAATGTATAATTTTGTATATTTGGTAGATCTTACGATACGATTTACGATTTTACGATTCACACTTTTCTCAACCCCAAATCTTTAGTGAGATCCCAATTTTGACAACCATGCTTCGCACTACAAATGCTATACCAAATGTAACGGGTTATGACTATTGTTGAAATCAAGAAAATCACTTCTAAAAAAATATATGCTTTTAGGGGTTGAGTGATAACGTTACCTGGTGCAACAAGAGTCTCTACAAAGAAAGCCAATGTACGCCTCCATCTTGAGAGTTTGATCTCATCCGAATGAGTTGTTCATCGTCGAGGCTTGAAAGTTTGACTCCATTCGAATGAGTTGTTCATCGTCTTTTTTGTCTCATTAAAAAGAGGAGTCGAATTAAAAAAAAAAAGCTCAAGATTTAGTATGGAATGTACTGTAACACTGATTTGATGAAGAGTTCTCTGATTCTCTCCTTACTCTTGAGAGACATTAACTCCTTTAAAAATTATTTTCTTTACATATCTATTTTTGATGAACTTGAAAAAAGTATTTTTAACATCTACCAATCATGAAGGGTAGTCCTAAATGCTTCCTGATAAGTGTACTATTTACTTAAAATCAATTATATTATTAAGTATTTATTTAATTTATTTGAACAGAAAATAATCATAAAACCTTTAATTTATGCGCAGATTAAGATTGCCCTAAGTGGTTGAAACTGATACTAAATTTCATTTGATTTTGTGTGGCAGGTATCAAGGACTGTGAGCTAGCCTATAGAATCAAACAACAATGCATTGAAAGTTAAGGGAGAACAACATTTGAGCAATTTACTAAACAAAATCCTATTTGATTAGCGAATTGAGACATGGGCAAAACCAAGTGAACTAAGCGGAACTCTTTGTCGATCAACAAATTTACATAAAAGAAAGAAAAAAGATAGGTCGACACAAATTATAACACTAACACCACCGTATTATTATATCTAAAATTTATTAATTTTATTCTTTTAATAATTTTTTTTTACTTTGGTTTCTGTGCATCTACATTTTTTTTATACGTGTACATATGATATATAAAAAATGTTTGTCAAAATATCATAGCTCTAAAAGAAAATCTGTTGAACAAAAAAAATCCCTAGATTAATGGATGCAAGGTAGTTCAGATCTTTCTTAGTGCCAAAGAAAGTCCATTTCACTAATCAAACAATCTTTCGATTAGCAAATAAAGAAAAAAAATAGAAAATTATAAATAGAAGTTTGAGTCATTAGTCAGAGGGATCTTGTTATTTTCCTCCGAACATAAATTAGATCGAGAGACAATAGCGCTAAGTTTAAAAAAGAATGTGTATTGAAATATATTATGTTAGCGCGTGAA